GTGTGTGTGTGTGTGTGTGTGTGTGTGTGTATGTGTGCGTGTGTGTGTGTATTTTAATTCAATTCAATGTATATGTCAATTCAATCAACTTAGGTTTTATCAAACCACAGAAGACGCTAGTTTACAGACTTTTAAGTCTGTAAACTAGCGTCTTCTGTGGTTTGATAAGACAGAAGACGCTAGTTTACAGACTTTTAAGTCTGTAAACTAGCGTCTTCTGTGGTATTAAAATATTAGTCTAAATATATAACTGCATATCTATGACATATAGGCATCTACAAACTCAACGGTACTAACGTCTACTATCAACTACTGTATACATTCACTACTGATTTTAATTACTGTATATGTACATGTACGTTATCCAAACAAGCTACTAGCTTCCACTACAATTCTAGTTCTCTATAAAAAGGATTGTGGATCATTTTCATACTAGTTTGGTTCATTATTATTATTTGAATATAAAGCATAGTTTTCAGGGATTAAAAATATAGTGGACGGAAGTACAGGACTATATTTCCTCACGCAAAATGCATGTCTTTTTTCAAACATTATACACCCTTTTGGAATACCAAAACGTTTTGTGTATCGATGTGATATACCATTGGTATCGAGATAGAGATGGTATAGCTAAGCTTGTCCGTACAAAGTTTCACTACGAGATGGTCATATTTGCACACTTGGTGCCTCCGTGTAAATTATGTTAAGTTAGGGCAGACTTAGAAGGGTTTTACTTCTGAATGGGCTATCATATGTTTAGATAATTCAAAATTCTGAGCAGTCATGTACCCCCACTCCCCACACATGTAGGGCTTCTCACAAGTGTTTTGCTAGGTGTTTGTCTAAACTGGATTTTTGTTTTGCAGAATAGTCACACCGGTCACACCTGTACGGTTTTTCTCCTGTGTGGGATCTCAAATGTCTAGACAAGTCAGACTTGTGAGCAGTTCTGTATCCACACTCCCCGCACATGTAGGGTTTTTCACCAGTGTGTTTTGCTAGATGATTGTTCAAGTGGGATTTCTGTGCTGCAGAATAGTCACATTGTTCACACTTGTAGGGTTTTTCTCCTGTATGTGTTCTCATATGTTTTGATAAGTCAGACTTTTGGGTTGTCCTGTATCCACACTCCCCACACGTATAGGGTTTTTCACCGGTGTGTTTTACTAAATGATAGTCCAAGTGGGATTTCCGTGCTGCAGAATAGTCACACTGATCACACTTATAGGGTTTTTCACCTGTATGGGTTCTCATATGTCGGGATAAGTTGGACCTCGCAGCTGCCCTGTACCCACACTCCCCACACATGTAGGGTTTCTCACCAGTGTGTTTTTTGATATGATCGTCTAAAGAAGATTTATGTGCTGCAGAATAGTCACACTGATCACACTTGTAGGGTTTTTCTCCTGTATGGGTTCTCATATGTCGCAATAAGTCAGGTTTATGACCTGTCCTGTACCCACACTCCCCACACATGTAGGGTTTCTTTCCAGTGTGTCTTGTTAGATGTTGGTCCAACGTGGATTTCAGAGCTGCAGAATAGTCACACTGGTCACACTTGAATGGTTTTTCACCTGTATGGGTTTTTATATGCTGGAACAAGTGAGATTTGTACGCTGTCCTGAACCCACACTCCCCACACATGTAGGGTTTCTCACCGGTGTGTCTTGCGAGATGTTTGGCCAAATTGCTTCTGTGTGCTAAAGAATAGTCACACTGGTCACACTTGTAGGGTTTTTCTCCTGTATGGGTTCTTATATGTATGGATAACTTATACTTGTAATCCGCCTTGTACCCACACTCCCCACACATATAGGGTTTCTCACCAGCATTATTCAAGTTGACTTTTCGTGCTGCCACCTGCTCTTCATCATTGACTGTTTTGCTGTCACAGTCGACCTGGGAAATCCCGGTGGGAGACTCATCACAGCAGCTTCGACCAACTCCGGTGGGAGACCCGCGTCCTGTCGTTTCCATGTTCAGTCTAAGGAAAAAAAATGAAGATTAAGAAATTTTAAAAATTAAGCGTTAAAAGCTGTCAATGATAAAATTGGGTTAATTGAAAACACGGCTTAAAGAGTTATAACTTCAACTTGAGCTTTACAACTATTTCAATCTTTTGCATAACAATGCAACCCACCATAATTATACGGTGTTTTATTTCTTGCATTTGAATAAATTTGCTTCTATAATGTTGAAAATCACAATTTCTGAGATCTTACAATCAATTGCTCACACTACAGAGCGTATTTAAAACATTTTATATTATATTATTTATTACTTCTACGACTACAATCCATTCGCTTGGCTTGAAAGAGACTCTGCAGTATAAGTTTGGTCACCATGCTATAGTCTTATAGTTGTTTTTGTTGTTGAATTCCCAGTTTAACGTCTATTTTTCTCGCTAGACATAGTCTCTAGGTGCTTAATACACTGTTACACTGTTACACAGTTCCACGCTTTTCTGGATTTTGTAATGTACGCCTTATGTGATTCTTTACAATCCAGTTAAGTTCTATATTCTTCCAAAAAAAGTCCCCCCCCCCAAAAAAAAGCCACTTCGCCTGATACAAATTGACGTACAAACTGGCAAGGGTCGAACATATGTTAGGTTTCGCCCCCCTCCCCCTTTACTTCCAGCATATAAATCATATTAACATTGCGAAAATGTCTACAATTTTCAACATTCTTATACTTCTATATTATTCAACGCCCTCCTAATAGGCAGGCCACTTTGCCTTATGCAAGTTGACGTACATTATAGGTGGCAAGGGTCGAACATATGTTAGGTTTCGCGAAATTTCGCCCACCCCCCCTTTTATTTCCAATATATATAAACATTGCAAAAATGTATACAAATAATAGTCTTAAAGAGGTCTTTCTTCCACAGAAATTATCTTGAACTATTTCTCTCATCATAAGAATACTTTGCTCCCCGTTTCGAAGTCTTACCTGCTTCCTTTGATGGTTTTTCTCTTCACGTAAACCGGAACTCGGCCAGCTTTGTCCTTCCGTCTTCACGTGAGGTCAGAGGTGAACGAAATGTGGGTCAAAGTTTAAATTCTCTGCCTGATTACCCATGCAGTACATTTGACGTCATGTGGTACTTCACGCTTTCCTCATATTGTAAACGTTACACTTCAAACAGATCACCGAAAAACGTAAATGCGCCATTTTTGCTGGTCTAATATTATCATGATGAAAGGAAATAAAAGCTGAGAAAGGAAGATAAAAGCTAGAAAGGTAACAATTGCAAAGCAAATGCATAATGCGCCAAAAAGCAGTTACTAACACCCGGTACGACCACGATTATAGCTTATAAGCATAGAATCACGGGCATGATCCATCGCTTGTTATGGGTGTAAGGTAGTACCTCCGTACCTCAAGGTATACCTCCTGTCTATATAAGCGATGATCATACCATCCCAGCCGTGGCTGGCGTGGCGAGCTGCCGTGACGTAACACGCCCAGGATCACGTGAGGGATGATTAGCTGGCAATATTGCCTGATGGGAAGGGTCAGAGTGCGTAGTACTAATCCGCGAAAATTCGAAGCGTTGTCGTGCCCTGTTTTTCTTCTCTGATATCTAGATATTTAGCGCCTTTGTAAACAACTACAGCTACAGCTAAAACACTGTGGAGGTTAATGCTGCCTGATTCGCATCTACTGTTGCCGGAAAGAATCGCAAATCATCAAAAACAGGTAATTTATACTGTTGTGAAGATGTGTGTGGCATATTGGGGTGGGGAGGGGGGTGTAGTTAGGGTAATATATTTCTGTACCACATATATTTCATACTGAAAGCCCTTATAGGCATCACGCCTAGTGGGTGTAGGTGCACGTCCAAGTCTGGCAAATGTCTGGACTGTGTTGGTGAAAGTGTTCCGAGGGTAAATCTTATAAAACCAACAAAATTGTTGGATGTGAGATCATGAATAATTTCATAGGTGGGGAAGCCTTTAAATTTGTGCACTGTCAATTTTCAAGTTTTTTTTTTACACTGTATTCCAGGCATGCCACCAAAGTATCCGGGGAAGAAAAAGAGACTTTTGGTCGAAAGGTTGCCAAAAGAAAGAACTACAGTTTTCACCAATGCCTGTGCACCTGGTCGCAAAAAGTCTGTAATTTTGCTAGATCCAGATGAGCCCATGGATGAGAGTACTGGCATGGTTAACCCCCTGACCATGCCACCACCTCCTCCGTCAACACCACCACCGTCA